ATTTTCTTTTCCATTATTTTAATATATGTCCCTATATTACCCTATATATCTAAAAAGTGACCTAGGGTTTCCATTTTCTTTTCCATTATTTTAATATATGTCCCTATATTACCCTATATATCTCTAAAAAGGGACCTAGGGTTTAAACCTGAAGCATTTCTAGCAATGTGCGAGGAACTCTGCGAGCCCGGGGTCGCTTGCTGCAATCAGAAAGTTCCTTCATATGAGCCATAGTCTAAACTCCTTAGGGGGGGGGGTTATATAGGGCATTATATAGGGAACCACTATGGGGGTTATTAAGGGGGATACTAGGAGTTTAGACAATGGCTCATATGGTGTTGTGTTCCCACTATGGGCCATTAGACCTTAAGGGTACCCTAATCTACCCAAAAGGTTTAGGGTTTAGTGCTTATGGGCTATTAGACCTTAAGGGTACCTTAATCTACCCATAATAAGGTCCTAATAGGGAATTTTAGGGTCTAATTGCCCATAGTTTTCAGCAGGAAAGGGAATGCATTCTTCTGGTAGGCTTATGTGATTTCGTTGCAAGAGCCTCTGACTCAAATCCATCGTTCTGTACAGGGTCCTTGAAGGAGCTTTAAGGCGAGGAGGGTCGAGGATTTCACCCGAAACCTTGAGGCCTATTATGATAACACAGTAGTTTCCATTTTCTTTCCGTTATCCCCATTTAATCCCTACATGACATGACCCTTTATAATGCCTACATTACCCCTATTTCCCGAACCCTAAGTTCAGGTGTTGAGGTCAAGGCTTGAATCGCCTGTGCACAATTTGGAGCGTCCACAGGGATTTGGGGGTTTCCCGAAATGAGGGGTACCCTTTAAAGGGATATATCGGTTTAGGGTTTCCCAAAATGAGGGGTCCCTGTATGGTGGTCCCTAGAAGAAGGGCTAAAATATTTTGGGGTCCATATTGGGGTTCAACCCTAAACCCTGTATGGCCATGAAGAAAAAGAGAAAAAAATGTATGGCCATGCAAGCGGCAAAACCTTAATTGGGGAAACTACCATATGGAAGCGTTTGGTGGATTTGGCAATGAGGAGCTGGGGATGCGTTGGTGTTTAGGGGTTAGGGTTTAAGGTCCAGGGTTCAAGGTGTCAGGAACTTGGAGTTTCCCAAAATGAGCGATACCTTCTGCGGGGTCCCCATATTAAGGACTACAGTATATTGGGGTCTATCTTAGGGTCCCCCTGTTGATGGAAACCACCAACTTCAGGTGCGTGAATCGTAGGAAAAAGGGCATGGGCATATGGAAGGCCGAAAAGGTAAAAGGGTTGTCAGGAACTTGTCCCTCAGTGCTGCGTTACATCAGAATATAGGGTTTTAGGGTTTAGGGTTTCAGGGTTTAGGGTGCCTCCAGCTCATGGGCGAGAGGATAGCAACTACTTTGCCAAGGTGCTGCATGGCGAAGTGATGAGCCAGGTTTATGCTACTATGTGCTATCACATGAGCTGTGATCAGCGTAGCGGCGAGATCAAGGAGTGGGTCTTATAGTCTTCCCCTACTGCGCAGTGCTGTGGAAAGTGTTTCCTATCCACGTGAGAAGTATTGGAGAGTCTGCTATGAGGGTCGCACCATATCGCAGTTCATGCCGCTGAAGGTAGTAGAAGTGTTCAGCAAGAATTCTACCATTCCAGCAGGAAATATGGCATGAACATGCCATTCCAAAGAAACACTTCCATTCTTCCGCGGCGATTCGCGGAAGAAATCAGTTTGTTTATAATCCTCGTCGTACCGCCCGGGTTCCAGATGCAGAAGATATGCGCATGACAAATTCCAGGCCACGAAGGCTGAGTGATGGGTATTTCTGATAGTGGCAATTGCGCTTGTGGATCCCTGCGCCAGAGTACATCACAGCTCTCATCCGAGCATGGATTTCCTGACTCTAAACCTCAAACTTAGTGTGGGTTAGCAGGGAATAAGGGGATATATTATAGAATAGGGATTCTATATGGATTAAATTCCCAGACTCCCTACTAAACCCCAGTAAGTAGACATCCCCAAGCCCTAAACCCTAAACCCCAAACCCTAAACCCTAAACCGCCTCACGTAAGGATCGGCCACCCAAAAGCTACGGCCAACTCTGCAGCTTCCAGCATACAAGATCATCTTGATACCTGGTGACGTAGGGATATAAATAGGTTTAGGGTTTAGGGGTACATATATATATATATACATATTTGGGATATAAATAGGTGTAGGGTGTAGGATTTAGGGGTACATATATAAATATAAATATATACAAATATTCTCATTCATTTAAATCCATAGGGGATCATATGGCCCTATAGTAGTTAAGAAGGACCATGGAAAGTGAAATGGACAATGGGGTTACATGGTGGATTCTCCAGAGGGGCCTTCCCCAGCGTGGACAAAATTGACCTTTTTTAGGGTCTAGGGGGTGGAAAAGAACATGGAAACTACTATTTGGGGTTTAGGGGTACTTTATTGGGAGCTTTAGGGGTATACATAGGGTTTAGGGTTTGGGAGTTTTACCTCAGTTATGGGGAATCAAATGAAGGAGAACACGGAAAATTCAATGGACACTGGAATAAGTTTGGGGGCTGTATAGGGTGGATGCTAAATATCCTGCATGACCCAAAGTACATAAAACCTTAGGGATTCTAGTTCTATAGTATAGGAAGGTCATGCAGGATGTTACTATCAACAATAGCAACGCCTAGAAACCCGTAGATAGCCCTAGTAGTCTCCATTTTATTTTCCAAGCCTCCAACGGGCGGGCGTCCGAAAGCTCAGCGTAAAGACAGACCCAAGCCACACCACAATACTTGTTAATTTTGGGACGGCCCATATATGAACCCTCTATAACCCCAGTTCACTTTAATTTTGCAGCTGATTCTCCACTATTATGGGGCGTAGTACGGGCTTTTATATTCTTGTTCAGGTTTCGGCAAACAACCTGTGACTGAATCGAACTCATGCACCTTGTGCCTGTAGAAGACATTACATTGTTTTCATTTTTCGCTTGGGCCAAGTCAAAGATTCGTAGGATTAAGGCTTAAGCGTCGATGAAGGTTAAACCTGATTCAGTTCTGTGTATTCGTCTTGAGGTTTAGGGTTTCGGGCTAAGGGGGCTTAGGGGGCCGCAACCTATTTGCGTAAACATGCACCTCGCTTTAAAGCCTTCGCAGAGTCCAGACCTATTTGCTTTGCCCTTCATGCCACGTGAGGTCAAGACCCCAGGAGTCTACACACGTAAACCCTAGACAGTCGACAAGATATGTCTGTAAGTGTGTACGTCCAAGCAAACTAGCAAACCTGGACCCTGAACCCCGAGTACCGAACGTACTCTTAAATGAGCAGGTTCTCTACCTCGAATCTTGCCCACGCTTTGCCTCTCTAGCGGTATCGAGTTACCATACACTTGTAAAACCTACTCACTCAAATGGACATTTCCCAACACAGGAGTTTCCAATATGTAAGTACACCCAAATTCCAGATCCTCCCCCAAGCATTGGCTCCATGAGTCCTTGAAATCCCAAATCCTAAATGAGCGGTAGGAATCCTATTCCTGCTCCAAATCCCTAAGCCCTCGAGGCTTCAACCCTTGCTGCCTAAAACCTCAACCCTTGCTGCCTAAAACCTCAACCCTTGACGCCTTAAACCCCTAAACCCTAAACCCTCAAAGCCCAACCCCCTAAACCTTAAAACCCCAATCCATTCCTCAACACCCCTGAGACCCTACACCCCTAAACCATAAACCCCTAAACCCCTTGAAACCCTAAACCCTGGCTCTAAGGCAAGCGAGCTTTGGCCTTCGGTCTCATGGCCTGGCTTTCGTAATATGAGATATGGTTTAGGGGCTTAGGGTCAAGGGCTGTGTGCGAGCCCAGATGCCAAAAAAAGGGTTAAGGGGTTAGGGTCAGGGGTTTGGGGTTACGGGTTTTGGGTGGGTTTATGGCTAGTATAATGCTTCCAAAAGGGTAATGGGCCTCTATGAGGTTTATGTAGGCCAGCTACCCACCGGGAACTCTCATTGAGTTATGTGCTCTGTTTTTTGTGGTCTATATGCAGGGCATGATTTCGGTACGGATCCGCAGTGACCCTCCCTTTTTAGCTTATGCCTTACTGGTCTGTAGGCCTGTAAGCTCTGTTCCTAAGCAAGCTAGGACATTCAGGGTCTTGGTACTGGTTTGGGGTTACAAATCTGGAATGGATGGATTTGTGGGGCCACGCAGCAATCCGCCCCTCTATACTACCAACTGTCGGCGCGCAGTTTAAGAGGCGAGCTAGGCCTAGTCTTGCTTGGGCCGCTTTCACATGGAGCCCCAGACAGCCTTCTGTTTGAATGACACTGGTCTTGATTGGGCTGCTTTTCAGATTGCATGTTACTTTAGGGGGGCGTGACCTTCCTGCTGTAAGATGATTCACACTTCCTGCATCATACAGCCATGCCGTGCCTCCATGCCAAGTAATGTGTGTTTCCCAAAACAGGGGGGAACAACCTGTTTTGGTGGTCCTTAACGTGAATATTGTAGTATTTGGGGATCTATCTTGGGGTCCCCCCCTACTTTTTGGAAACTACGATGTGGACACTACTCCGGAAGCACGACAGACTGAAAGCACCTTCCAGATCGTGCTGGGGATCCAGATAGCCCAATGTAGGGACTATTTACAGACTTTAGGGCCCAGTATCAGAATGGCCCAATGTAGGTATCATTTGTATACTTGGATCCCTATGGTTGGAGCTGAAAGCCGAGACGTATTACGGAGTGTTTTCAGATGGCACGGATGAACAACTTAGGCAAGCCTCCGCCGCTGCCACCGCAGGCACAGCGGGCGGGATGGGCTGCGCGAAATCCAAGCTTTGAGCCCACTTGCACTTGTTTTTTTTGCTCTTGTTAGAGTAGCTGCTACGACGTTTCTGATCGTTGCATCCTTCAGTACTATCATCAAGGCTAGTTACAATAAGGATGTTCAATGAGGATGGTAAATTGAGTACGGATTTTAACAGGCAAAGATTGATTACACAACCTCGGCGTAGGTTCATACATTCCCCGTAGAAATGCCCAGGAACCGTTCTCTCTCTCTCTCTCTCTCTCTTTCTCTATCGCAAGCCTTATAATTATTTCTTGTAAATTGCACAGGAAATGGACTCGGATGGTTTTCTGCAAAAGGGCGTTCGATCAGCGTCACTCGAACATGACAGGAAGACAAATTTGGAAATTCCTGATTCCTGCACGCTCAGATAGCCTCGGGCCAAGTCAGCATTGCTGCCATTGATAATTCCCCGAGATCAGCACCAATTTCATCCTTCTGCCATCCATCTGGCGATGATGCTGATGAGGATCATCAGGGTGATTATCGTCAGTGTTCGTCGTGCTACTCCACGTCACAGTAGTTGTGTTAGTCGAGGCAGGAGAAGGAGCAGGAGAAGGAGGCAGTTGTTGGTGGAGTTGCTGTTGCTGGCAGCGGCGTCTAGTTAGGCGTTTAATCATAGAAGTCATATCAGAAGTCGTCATCCTGGTATGATTCTTACTACTATCATTATTGGTAGTAGTTGTTGTCCCAGCAGCAGTAGTAGTAGCTAGTAGGTAGTAGCCAGTAGCTAGTAGTAGTAGTAGTAGTAGTAGTAGTAGGAGTAGTAGTAGTACTAGTAGCAGCAGCAGCAGGAGTAGTAGTAGTAGTAGTAGTAGTAGTGGCTACTAGTAGTAGTAGTAGTAGTAGTAGTAGTCGTAGTAGTAGTAGTAGTAGTAGTGGCTACTAGTAGTAGT